ATATTTTCCGATTATGAATGAACTTAAAATTGTAGAAAAGATAATAAAAAAAAGAAACAAAACGAATATAATTTGAATGGGTGACGAAATATTATTTTGGAATAAGTTTGACTCGGATTCAAATTTAGATTGCGGGTATTAATCTTTTCATGCAAGAAATTCTCGCTGCAAAGGTTTTGAAAAATTACATTTTGCAAGCTGTAATAAATGAGTTGATAGAAAAACTAATATTTACATAGTGTTGACAAAATTTTAGAAGGCATATTAATATTAACTAAAGTGATAATGCGCCAGCTATCATAAAGGCTATCATTAAACATGATTAATCTAATTAGGAGAACAAAAACACAGAACATAAAAATGATAATGGAATAGAAAAGAGAAAGGAAAAAGCATTTTACCGTGATTTTGGCTAATGAATAAAACTTTTACTAGCCTTCGAATTCCATGGAAACAAAACTATATTAGCAAACTTTTAATCGCTAGAGCCAAATGAAAAGAATTCGATTGCATTCTGCAATGTTTTAATCGAGCCGTAAAAGCTTTGTTAGCGAAAACTATGGCGATCATGAAAATATCCAAGCAAGGACGAAAAAAGACAATTACAAATAAGTAAATGAGAAATCGATATAACTGTTTCGCTGAAATTTCAACAGGCAACCAAAAACTTCGATAACTTTCCTTAAAACCCTTTTAAAAACACAATCTATTTACGAAATTTAAAGGAAAAAAAAAGTTTAGAAACACTTAAAATTCTACTGAATTCTATTGTGAATGAATAAGTGTTCTATTGTGAATGCAGAAGTGACAGAGGAGATTAGAAAACGGAGAGCACAAAACATATGTCATTTTAAAGTGTCAAGGCAAAAAAAAACTGGGAAATATCTGGGAATGAATATCAAGAAAGTTATTTGATTCGGACTATTATCATTTCTCTAAAGACAACCATCGATTTGCAATTGTCCTCTTGATTTAAAATATATAATTTCTTCCATTTTAGATTTTAACTCTAAGCTAACAGCAGCAATTCGGAATTAAAGTTGATGACAGGTTTCATTGAATTAAAAAGCCCAAATTTAGCAATTTAAGGTAAAACTAATAATAGCAAGTTTTTTGGTAATACAGTGTACAGTGTCTCAGCATACAGTGTTTCAAATTATCGTAATTAGAGGAAAGGTTATCGTGCCTCTAAATAGAAGTAAATCTGTCATTGAAAAGTCTGGATGATGATGTTGGCAATCCATCAAGAATCTTCTTTCTCCAAATAACTGGCATTTCCAACTGCATCAGTAGTCAGCGGAGCCTTACCAGCAGAAATGGTGGGTGCTAACCATTGTTAAGGAGTGACAAATGGCAAGAAAACTAAGAAAACTGAACGAAATAGTTCTTATTTTTCTTATAGATGATCATTCTTTTCAATTTTTCTTCGTATGATATGAATCTATCTTCTTGATTTTCCATACATGTGAATATAGTATATATAAATCAGTTTGAAGCTTCTTGTCATTTAATTCAATAAATTTCTAGCTTTAATATTGAATTCTTATTATAAATATCATTTTCAGTGTCATTTTCAATGTCAGTAATTTCATTCAAAAGTAATAAAAAGCAAGAATATGGGTTTTTCCATGTTGGAAAAATATAGACAAATTTTAAAAACAAAATTTTTAATTTGGTGCTTTTTCCATTTGGTTTTCTCACTTTGATGAATATCCACTTTAATCAGTTAATAAGTTGCGTATTGCGTCTCTCAAGAGATAAAAAATATGTAAAAAATCGGAAAATACCAGGAAAATACAATTTTTGATGAATGTTGTATTTACCCAAGATATAGGAATACAGGTATAATTTGTCTTTTATTTTTATTATTAAACTTTTTTTATTTTCTTTACTTTACTATTTTACTTTTTTTATTTATTATTTTTTTACTTTTTTTTATGACTTTTATGCTACTGTAATGACATTTAATAATGTAGAGAAGGGAAATTTCTTCATTGAAAAGAAGAATTTATTAGTAAATTAGTAAAAACAAGATTGAATTAATCTATACACTGTGAACAATTGTGAAACACATAAAAATTAAAAAATGCCTAAAAAACAATGAATGATTTGTAATGAGCAAGATACTCTGGAAATAAGTTTCAAATGCGAAAAACTCATAGAAGGCGAAAATTCGCTTTTGAAATATGGTAAGTAATAAGCCATTATGACAACTTTTTTAGAAATCAGTTTCATATTAATATAATATTCAAACTACAGATAGTATAGAGCTAATAATAAAACCCGGAGACAATGAGAAACGAACTGAATGCAAACAATATGGAACTTGCTAAAAATAAAAAGTCAATTTCAAGCTGAAATTGTTGGTATTCAAGAAATGAAATTCTTGATGATCGGAAACTTCTATTCAGTTTCATTTTCGTTTTCAAGAAGAATTTTGACGAGGTTTAGTGCTTTTATTTAAAGTTTTTTTGAATATAAACATTTTTTACAAGTTACTAATACCATTTAACATATACCGATTGATCAGTTTTTCAAACGAAACATTATACGTCTTTCAACGTACACCACAAAACCATACCCTTCTTTTCAAAAACCGATCAAACGGAAGAAATTTTGCATTTGCGCGAAATTTGTCGTATATGAAGAACTATATTACAAATATGGATTGAATAATCTCACGTATAACAAATAATCTCGTACCTACAAAAATTTATATCGTAGAATAATCTTTATAATCTAAATTAGCCGGTGTTCAAAGAAATTTAGCAGGAATTCCGAAATAATAGATCAGGCCATTCGCTATAACACGAAATATGTTGCAACAACTAAATATCAGAGAAAAAACTTCAATATTAATGCACCTAAGTGCACCTACTAATAAATTAGAAAAGACTGATATCACTGGTAAGTAGAGGCGAGATGCGAGAAAAAAAGTATAAAATCGATTGAGATAATTTAAGTGAGAGAGCGATTTTTTATAGTTCCATCACTCGTCGTGTAATACCTTCTAAATATTATCATTTTTAAAAATGGATTAAAGAAAAATGAAAGTATTTTGAAATATGGTGAGATTTTAAGGAGAGGAGGGAGGTTTGGGGCTTGAGGATTTAGAATTTGCTATGGCGAGTTAGTTTCGATTTGGAATCATCCTTGAGTACTTTATTAAAATAAAAAAGTAATTCGACTGCATACTGTTATTAGGTGTGCATGTGCATAAGTTCCCAGCGCTGCATTTTCTAGGTGAATTAGCACAAGGAAGCAAAATTGTTTTGCTTTATTCACGCTTATTTGCGCTTGTATTTAGGGTTAAATTTTACTGCTTAAAATCCATTATGATTGCTGATGACAGTTACGACATTGTATACTCTCCTTTTTTCATCTTGGAAAGAAATGAAGAAATGGGTTGATAAAGTTTATGGAGATAGAACAATTGGTAACGCCAGCGCAAGAAATAGGTTCAAAAGAACTTCGACTGCCGCAAGCCAAAGACAAGTGGACAACACAAGTATACAATTGTTCTATAGGTAAGAGTTTGTCACTAATCAACTAAAAACGTTGATGAAGACCCATGTCAAACAACATTGGAAATGGAAACAACAATTAGGGTACGCACATTCATCAATCACGCAAGGGACAAAGATTGAAATTTTATTTCCACTTTGAAACGTAGAAAGAATCCAAAAATTTAGGAAATTGATGCCATATGAACTCATCGAAGGGAACATGGTACAGAAATTGAAAATTGCATTTCTTTTTTTGCTGGACAAGAGAAAGTGTCTTTTGTGGAAGGTTATCACTCGAGACAAGAAGAAGACTCAATATAACAATCTTAAGCGCTGATAATCATTAGCTGACCCAGGATAATCAGGAGCATCAATGGCGAAACGAATTTTATTCCAAAAAAAGTGTTCGATCCTTTTCCATCTTTAGTGGGATTGCAATTTACAATACCATCACAGAGCGTAACTGGTTAGTGCAGGTTGTCCATCGTCAGGAGTTGGTTCATTACTTGCGAAGCCCTGTGACTTCAAAAGCGAGGAAAGCCAATCAAGAGCTGGACTGATACAATTAGGTAAGATATAGGTGGGTTAGTGATCTATGGACTTAAAGAATGAAAAAAGGGATCGCTTTTATTACTGTAACCGATGAATCGAACAGCTTGGAATCATCTTACCTTTGCAGTAATGGCAAGAGTTAGTGGAAGATGAAGAAAGAAGTGGGATTGCAACAGTGTATGTGGGCTGTTGAAACCTTACGAAAAATTACTGCCATTACAGTTGACAATATGCATGAAAAAGTTCGCCCATGTGTGGCAGTGTCATTGCAAGGAACTTTAGGTTTTAGATTTGTATTAGGAAGTTCCTCCTCATGTGATATATTGCTTAGGTCTGGCTCCCTCAGATCATACAAGTTCGAAATTTCATTGATGCCTTTTTTGATTCGAAGTCATAATACGAATGGATTTATAAGTATTTCGACGATTTAATAGTTAATAAACGTTGGAAATTTAACACATCCAATATCTTCATTTCTTAAGGAATTTTTAAACAAAAATTTCGGTTGGAAAAAATTTCGAAAGGGTCAAAATTTTAATTTCAATTTAAAAATACGAAAAAAACTCTTCCTGATGCTTTATATACATGCTCTGAGGCAGTATGGTTGACTGGTTTGATTATCATTTCAAAAATCTCGGTTCAGTCTCTGGTTCTGGCAGGAATAGGCATTTAGAATTCACCATCTGTTCCGTCTTTTACAACCATCTTTCGGAAATGTCTTATTCTCATAGATAGCAGAGTAAGCCTAACCAGAAATGACTCTTGCTAAACCCCTAACTAAATAGTATCCAAATTCAGCCTTAAACCATATATTACATTAAGCAACTGATTTATAACGAAATGAATTGATTTCTAACCTAAAAAAGAGGTTAATTTGCTGCGTTACGAATAGCTCTATGCTCCTATTTATTTTATAAAAAGAGGTGGATACAGGTAAATTATCTAAATTTCCGAAAAGAAACCTTTTCGTGGATTCCGTTTCATTCTTAACAATTCGAATTGACTTATCTGTGCACCAGGATCATCCCAACAGATTGCAGTGCTTTCAGCAAATTTATCGATTATCATTGATATGGGGAAGGCTAGAACGATAATTCCACAGACACTAGCCAATGCAGCAACAACTTTACCGCCTAAATTTATATTAAATCTGGTCAATCAGAAAGTTTTTTTCCATATAAAAAGTTTCCTTTAAGTGGGCAGAGATGACTGAGTGGTATGGTTGATTCGCATCAAGAACCCACTAGTTCCATGCTCTGCTCTGACATGACTGCCATCAAATGAATCCGAATGATGCTCACGGTCTACCTGCATTTCTATCATTAACTGTCTTCTTGGTAAAAATTTCTGATTATATCAACTAATGGAGCTAAACTAATCTAAAATGGTGAGCGCTTCACTATCTTTTAACTGGTCATTATAATATTTGTGCATTTCATATATTTAATAGATTCTTCTTTCCTAACATAAATGCGTAGTTGTTTAAAAACATCTACCATCTAACTGTAATATTCAATTAAATTTTGGTTGAATTTTATTAAATCTTAATAAATTTGCCCATCGAGCACTACAACATTACTGAATGTGTATCGAATGAGTTTTTTTGAATAACCGATTTTGACATTATTAAAGTGACTGGTGCGATGCCTTTGGATAGCTTATTTGAAGTAGAAAAATCCTTCTGTTATATAAAAAGCATTGTAATTGGTGGATCAGTTTATGAAAGAAAATAACAGCGGCATATCTCATATCACGCTATTAATATTATCCAGGCAAAAAATAGGAGTTGAAATGGAGAATCATAATAATGAAGATCAGTGTTTTAGGATTGACCGAACTTCTGGTTTTTTTCTAAACTAGCTGAAGACATATAATTTTATTCTGCAAATCATTCATTTAGGCTATATAATGTCGATCAAATAATGCCGCAAATATTTTCGATTGAATTTTGGATTGTGAAAATTTAATCAAAGTCTCTACCTATCTCTAAATTAAAAGCTATGATTTCAATTAATTATTGGGATAAATTGATATGATTGGAGCGCAACTAAATTTTTTGAAGTCTGAATCTAGAAAAGATAGAAATAATCTCAACATATCAGCTAAATGAAAATGCACCTGCGGTGGCCGGTACTAGATCTCCATAGCCAACAGTTGTCATGGTTATAACGCCTGAAATTTACGAAATATTTTATTCTAGAATAATAGTATTGGTGGAAAGCTCAAATGATTTTGCCTGAAGACGCTAGAAAACGAAATCATAAGCTTACACCACCAACATGCAGCCGGAATGGAGTAGAACTTCGAATTAGGTTCATCTCTTTCAAAAAAGTAAATGGCTGTTGAGAATAGCATTATTCCAGTTAAAAGGAACATTCCAAGCATACTAAGCTCCGCTGCAGATTTCTGCATAGTTTGTCCAAAAGCACGGAGGCCAGTACTATATCGAGCGAGTTTAAATATTCGTGTGACCCTTGCCAATCGAGTAACACGAACTACAATCATGGCACCTAAAAAAGGTATCTAAAATATGGATAGACTGGTATGGGTAAATGATTTTTGCAACACTCGTGCCATTTAGTCAAGTGGTTCTTAAATACTCTAGATATTTAGTCGATCTCCATTCACATTCCAACCAACTTAAAAAATGTTCTTTGGTTCTCAAACGTTCTTAAAAAAAAATAACGAATGGAAGGCACCTCTTATATTCCTCAGCTCAACTGTATGCATAATTCCAATATATGGCAAACACATTTCGACATAAAATGGTACAATGGTCAAAAGATCAATTATGTTGAGTGGTGATTTTAGAAACACCAATTTTTTCGGACTTATTGCGAATCGGACGATATATTCTAGTGTAAACCATAACATGCAGCTGAAACAAAGAAATAAAGGTAATTTTTTATCGAATGTAATAATCATTGCCATAGGATTTTTGTTGGTGATAAATGCTTTCTTACACCACATAGTTTCATCGCTATTAAATCCGTAAGTAAGTAATAGCCATTTCTTTTGGGTTTTCCTCAATTGGTCGCTAACAGGGTGAAACAATTTTGTCAGAGAATCATTTGGGACAAACGTAGAGGTGGGTCCATCTCTAGCGCCATCTGCATTCGTCATTTAAATAAAATGAAGCATGGTTAAATCGAAAGATCAGTGTTTTCACTAATTTTTGTTTTTCGCTATAATATTTTGAGACTAATTTTAAGGAATAATTAATTAATTAATTGTGCATATTAGTTTATATCTACAAGCACTGGAAGCACTAGGGAAATAGCACTTGTCCTTGTCAACTTTTGAACTTTTGAAGTGGGAAAATTTGTAAAATTCTTGTCTCGAAATGTTTTTGAGCTTTCTTAAAAACCTATTATATAGCAAAAAAATATATGGAAAATATGCTAATTATTCAATAGTTATTTGTAATCGAACAATCCCCAACACATCAATTATTTTTCAATAAAGCGATACAGCATCTAGAAGTTGACATAGGCAATACTTATTTATCCTCAGATAAGCCATGAAATGATGCAATAGTTCAAAACTTATTAAATAAAATTAAAAGACTCAGATTGATATTTTGATAAAGCATTAAAAGATTATTATTTAAAGATAAAAGATTATTTAATTGTGATTGATGAATAGGAACTTTAGCTCAAAAATGTAGAGAACTAAAACTATCGCCGAAATCATCTAAATTCAAAATTTTAACCTTTTTGATAAAAGTAAAACACGAAACTGTAAATTAAAACAATGTAAAATTATAAAAAATTATCCTTTTATTTTAAAGTTATAAATGAAAAAATAAATAAATATATATATATATATATAAATTTTCCAGAAATCATAACGCATTGACGTTATTTGTTTTAGGAAATAATTGTTGATAAGATTTTTTACCTCATTTCCATATGTGTTAGAAACCAATGTGGTTCTTGGTTTTCATCTTGAAATTCTGGCATAGACGCTAGGATAAGGACTGAAAACGTTAATAAAAAAGCTTTTTTCAAAAACAAATTATGAAGAATTAAAGGAGGACTCTTTTATGATCTACATTGTGGCTAGTATTTGCTGCTCTTTCAGATAAAATGGTAAAAATCTTGACAAATCTCAGTGAATTATTTATATGAAAAATTTCAGTAATTAATATAAGGCTAGAACAAATGTGATAAAAATCTCGTTCGATCAAACATTCTTTTATCAAAATTACCAAAATAAGGAGATTTACTAAAGTGAAGAAAAGTAACCAGCAAGAGAAAGTAGGACGAAAAACGCTGACAGAAGCGATAAACTTTTTGCAGCCAGTGATGATCGAGGATTTTCTAATAAGTTCCAAGCTTTCATCCTTTGGTTGCCAAGCCAAGTGTTTTTGAACAGCGAGCATGAAGCCTCGTGATATAACTGAAAAAGCTGTGGCCTCATCTAACTAATATTTTTTGCAGCATTAAGTACAACTGTAATTATTTAGTTTTCTTTCATCTTGAAGTAAATAAACTCATTGACTTGCAAGTCTTCGGTTAATTAACACAAGAACACTATTGAAAAACACCTCATCACCTCATCAAATATTGATGGGTTTCGAGAAAATGATGCCACCATGCTTTGATTAGAGTCGAGTTGACAACATTTCGAAAGCATAGTTATAGGTATTCGCCAAAATTCAAGTTCATTTTGCATTCGAATCGGACAAACGTCCAGCGGTCGATGAAGGCGCCCTAAATAATAATTTAACAATATCATTTATTTTTGAAATGATCAATAACATAATTAACATTCTAAGGGCTAACCAATTTGCATAGACTGCATCGCATGAGGTTTAACGCAACATTCAATGGATAATATTAAATTATTCTATTTTCTTTTAAAGCGAATTAAAGCGAATTTTTCGATTGAATAATTTTTTATATTTTGTGCTTAAATTTCTGCAGCTTAAATTAGATTTTACTTAAATTACAGCAGCTATTGGACTTGCAAAATAAAAGCCCGATTTTCCTTTTATTAAATTTTTTAGATTTTGACTTTCTTTCGGAAATCTTACCATTCACGTAAAAATCAATGATGTACTCAAATAAATCGGATGATCTTTCAAAATAATATTCATGAGTTGATTCGAAATATGCGTCACATTCTAACAATCGTTCCCCATGAGAGAGGGAACAGAATTTTGCGAGACGACCATCAATGTGCCTATTTTTCAGCTAAAATTACACGTAATATATTTAAAATGTTTCCCTGAATTCCATGAACTTTTAAACATTATTTACATTATCAGGGAGAACATTCCTTTTATGCCCTTTTTTTTCGACCGTTGGTAAAGAAGAGACTTTGTCAAATTACAAAAAATGGAAATTCTGAATGAAATTTTCAAATTCTTCACCAATTTTTCTGAAAAAAATTTGATTAAAATTATTAAAAAACTCTTTGAACATTCTTTCATTAAAGCCATTTAATATTTTAATTTCAGTTCATGAAAACACCATTTTGTCTTATTGTAGCGTACTACACATATTCCAACTTCTGTCCCGTTCTCAGATCCGGCTATATTGCCTTAACGATCCACTAAACCTCTTGCAGTTCCCCAACATTCGTCATTTCCCTTATTATATTCTTCCTGAAACTAAACCCTGTTATATTTCATTAACACTTCTCAAATCCCTTCATATTCCCTCAATATCCTTAAAAATTTCCTCATATTCCATTGCCCACTGTGTCCAAAAACTGCTTAGATCGTGGCCGTACTGCAATTCCCTAAAAATCACCTCAAATTTCGCTTAATTTTCAGTTAGTTATCACTCTCTAAACTTCTCTTCCCTTTAAAAATTCCTTTAACTCGAATTTTCGTATCACCCATTCGTTAATACATGTAGACTCCAATAATATTGTCCTCAATAATCTCATTGCTTAAAAATCTCAAACCCTCATAGTGTGCACTTTTCTCACTTGCAAAAAACGAATTTTTAACTAATAAGCAGTAAGTTCACTGGCTTTGTTTCAGTTTTTTTGACGAATTTGCGTAGTTTGCAGAAAACCGTAGATATTAGCCATACTTACCAAATAAATCGTACCAATTACGTTTAAAATCCAAATATAGGACGATTCGCTTGTTTAATTATCTATATTTTATTAAAAATTTTTAAATGACGCAAAACGCGATGATACTGTAGTTATGATTTCATTATAAAAGAAATAATTAACCAAATAATCTGGAATTTGAGCACTTCTACCACCAACGTTAATGTGCAATGATGATTTTTGTATGTCACCATTCTGATTCACCAGAACTGTCGCTGAATTAACATCTGCATCCACCATATCACAAATGAGCACAGGATATGATAGACGCTGAAAAATTTATTCTCAATAAATGATTTGAATAACCCAAACATCGATAGGACATAGTGTAAATAGTATAACTCGAATTCTTCTTAACTCGAGCTTTTGTAGATAAAAATGTGTCTTTGCGTATGATCATTGTGCTTATAATCTTTCTTAAAAAATAGTTTATCAACATTCCGCAGGATAAAATCTGGCAGTTTTGAAGCATTCGAACATTCATTCAAAATTTTACATGAATAGTAATTTCTAACTAATTAAATTAAATTATATATTTGAATAAACAGATTTGATTTTATTTATTGCATATTTATAGTTGCAAATATTTGGTCGAGAGAAAAGTTACTTAAAAGAATATTCTAGATTATAATGGTTAATTGGTATCGAAATCGAAATCAATTAGGAATATTGTAATAGCTTTCTAAAAGCAAAATGGCTGAAAATTATGAGAAAAAAATTTTTTTGGAATTGTAAATATGTTACAGAAAATATTGAAAAATTTATAAAGTAGTGTGAGTTTTAATGCATTTTAACTGAACCGATGGAAAGCGATTTATTAAATAAAATAATCAAAGAGTAAGGAAGAACAAGGAAAGGCGATCATATGCCTCAGAATTTAAGCGAACAGAAAGGCTTCAATAAGAGTTAATATAAAAAAAGCATCAAAAGCTATAAAAAAATCTGGAGTATAGATAGTAAAATGAAAAAAAGTTACGCCAAAATATTCGTGTGCTTTAACCAAAATCTCGATTTAATTATTCAAATCGTTTCCTGTGTCTCTAAAATCAATTTGTTCGAGTTTTTATCTTTCAAGACTAGCAAAATGCAATAGTAATCACGCAAACTGATAAATGTTTTGAAGTGGCTATCGCAGCCCATTTTTGCAAAGCTTTTTTTGCAAAATTTTCATCTAAATGAAATCATTATGAATTCAACAATTCATTCGAGCAAGAAATTTTTGATTTCCTGATAAGATTCTACAATTTAAAAAGAAAATATTATAAGAAAATATTGAAAAATATTGAAAAACCTAACTTTAATGTTAACAGGTTAAATATTAAAAAAAATTCAGAATTTTAAAAGAAATCCAGAAATTTTCTACATATTATTTAGCTTCTTCAACAGTGCAAATTTGTCCACGAATGATGTGTTGGAAATTGCATTAGTACAAATTAATTAGGAAAAACAAAAAGGAATCATCTCAAAAATAGCTGACGATGACGGAAAAATAGTAGAAATTAAAAAATCACTTGATAATAAGCATTTTAATAAATGCCGAATTTTGCAGCGATTCAGTAGTTAAATTGTTAAGATAAATAATAGAAAATAAATGAAATGAAATGACTAAATGAAGGGTATAATTCAAAAAATTCAACAACTGGATTAGTAAAATTTCAAAAAATTATCGCAATTTTTCTTCCTTTTGTCGCATCTGACAAAAAAAGTTCTTTAAGACATCTTTTATAAAAAAGTAAATTTGTAAAAATAATATCATTTTTTAGTGCCATACTTTAAAATGGTGAGGCTGAAGATAAGCCTTATCAAAACGCGCGAAATCGAATCTACTTCCATTTAGATATTTTTTACAGAGATACCGCACGTCAAGCAAAAAATGTTTAAAAAAATATGAAATCGATGATAATAAATTTAAGATTATCAATGTTCCTCAACATCCAAAAAAAATTTCGCAAAAAACGTCCTCAAAAAAAGCACAGTGAAATTGTATTTTCTAGATTTATCCTCATAAAAAAAAAGATTGCAAACTGACCTGCTTTTCATCTGCAAACAATAGAATTCGCGAAAATTAGTTTAAAATGCGAAAAAATATGCATTTCAAAAAATATGAATTAATTGAAAATTTATCAGTATCACTAATCACTAATGTATCACTAATCAGCAAATCCACTCCAAAAACTTAGCAATTAGATGAACAAAATGATTAATCGCTGCACTTAAGCAACAGTATGATGCAATTTTTACGGGTGATGCTGGCGAATCACCTGTATTTCTATCGCCAAGAGATTCCCTGGCATATTGCTTAATGCGACAAGCCAGGTGACGAGATTAACCAGTAATGATTTAAAAAAAAATTTTTTTACGAGTGGTATTAAAATAATTCAATAGCGTTGCAAAAAAAGTGCATCAAAAATTAAATTAAGCGATTAAGCGAATTAAGAAAACTATTCCGAAGCCGTAGAACAAAAAATTTCTACCTGCTATTAATCATCTATTCTCAAAATGTTGTGTGCTTTTGCTTTCTTGGTTATGGACATCGATATAGCCAAATTTGTGGGAATCCGATTTCTTCTAAGGGTAGGCGATAATTTCATAGGATCCAGCTTTATTTTGTGCTGCTACTTCCTGAATAATGAATAAAAATTGTTGCGTAAATTGTTTTTAAAAATCGCATGTTAATAAAATCGTTCCAGTGGAAATTTTTCATGCAAGATTGCTGAATTTTTTCAGCCAGTAAGGTCAACAGTTTATTTCCAGTTGGTTTCGTAGAAATATGAAGATTCAATCACTCATCAATTCTGCAAGAGGCGCGTCAGTACCGAGAGGATCTCGTAAAATTAATAGCGATAATATTGATTCTACCTCAGGAAATTTGCAGTTTAACTCCAATGATTTTTCTCATTAATTGAAACTCCATCTAAAATTCAAAAATGGCTTTTCGACAATTACTATATTACTATATTGCTAATACTATTGTTGCTTTATTGCGTTGCTTGGTTTCATTGAAAAAAATTAAATATATTGAATTAATACATACTGCACATACCATTATACGGAAATGATATAATCGTAAAATCTATTTCTGCGAAGTCTGAATATAAATAAAATAATTTGTATTGGATTTAATGCTCATATTCTCGAATAAAATATCTTTATACTTCATTTTTCCTTAAATCTTTGCACAAAACTTAGAAGCATAAAAAAAATGGTATTATTACATTCCATTTATTTGTTATATTTTTGTTGTGTCAAGAAGGATAAGAAGGATAAATTGAAAGAAAAGGTATAAAGTTTACAGTATGAGAAAAGTTATTGCATTCATCACTAGGTTATGGATTAAAAGAAAGATAGCCAGGTGGACAGTGATGAAATCCTCATACTGTAAACTCCTCATTAAGTGATAATTAAAAAGTTCTACAGATGGTAATTCTTATTACCTTTCTAAATTAGGATTTGCTGCTAAAATGGAATGGACACTATGCTAGAAGGAATGCAGCGATCATCTATTTGGTTAAACTATAATTAAATTGAGTTCTGCATAAATTTCGATGGATTCTCCATTAAGTTTCCCTTTAAATTTCATTGAAAAAAAAAGCTAAAAGGAGCAATGGAATGAAAATTTATACCTAAAACTTAAAGTGCATTAAGATTTTCGAAATATTTTCTGTAATAACAAATAAATTCGAAAAATGATATTCTCCAAGTGATTAACGCTTACCATTTTTAGTTAAATTCACTTGACTCGTTGTTAGTATGGTGGGAAATTTTTACCAGTCGCAGTCATTTTTTTAATAACTTGTTCGCTACTATCGGAGAATATTTTGCAAAAAAAGCACAGTCAGAAATAAGTCCATAATGACTGTTGAACAGTTATAGTTCACCTAGTATATCTATGTATAATTTCCTTACTGCGATAAGAAATCTAAAACATCGAAGTATTTAGCAGAATAAAAGAATCACAACAAAAGAAACAATAGAATATCGATAAAAAATTAATTTTTTGCTAAATGAAACCATAAATTTTATAAAACTATAAATATAAATATAACTATAAATTTTGTCACATGAAGTCTCCACCTTGAAAAAAAGAACAAACACGAAAAATATTGAAAACGTCAAGCAATCAACGCTTTGAACGGTGCATTAAAGCTTTTGGGGCTACTTTGACCAATTGTAACAGTTCCAACGAAAAACATGACAAATTTTGGTTAGAGTGTTGGAAACAAAATTAAAAGTTAATAATAGTTTGCTTGGGAGCTACTTATTTCACATTAAACGATTTTCTAAACTATCATTGCCCATGATATCTAAGTATTTCCTAATAGACTAATTAGTAGAACAATTAGCTTAGAAAGACAGCAATTTTTGTCAATGTAT